ACATTAATAGCTGGTTGGTGAATTAAGGGTACCTAACGTAATCCAATTAACTATTCTGAGACTAAAAATATTTATCTGTAACCATTTAGTGTCAGAATAAACCAGTTATACATTAGTTTTGTCTCAAGTTAACCCTGATAGAAGACCTGTTCGATTCGCGACTGACAGGTTAGATTATCTAAGACTACAAATAAACCTAACTCACAAACCAGTAACCGATCTTAACATTTTTTTTATTTCCCAACTATATGACATTAGGCATAAGACTCTAGCTTACAAAGAAATCACCATTACACATAAGGCAACACAAAATTAAAATGTAACAAGAATTAATGAAACAAATATTGGTTCCAAACCCCTTCTCAGATCCAATACAAGCTTTCCTACCTAAAACTAAATTACCATCCCATTACCTTCAGTTGGTCAGTTAAAAACTTAGTCATAATCATTGACCAAACCCTCTCTTGGAATCACCATATTGCTCACATCTGTCAATCAATTTGCACTCTAAAACTGTTTCATTGCTTCTGACATCTCCTACCTAAACCCACATATGGGCTCTTAGTTTCTCACATCTTTCCCCACCTTGAATACGGCTGTATGGTGTGTTATATTTTTTTTTTTGTTTCGGTTTTTGTAGGAAATATGGATACATACTTCAAATTACTTTTTACAGAGCCATTGGGTACAGTTTACTATTACGTTAATTTATTTATCCCATTTTCTAAACAATTATTTAGTTATACATTTTTTAAATAACAGAAGTAGCAATTTATTTACTTATGTTTTCTTTATTAGTTAACCCTTTTACTGTGGATGGGATACATGCCTTTCTGGTAGTGAGTTGGGTCACTGGTGTGACCGGAATATATGCCGCCTCCATAACTGGGTGGTTGCCACTTAAACAGGTAGGGGCAAGTCCCGCCTTCACTATTTGGCTTGTGGCTTGGTCATTAGTCCTCTGTAGCTGACTCAGTGTGGTCGTTCCGGATTCTGACCATTTGGAAGCTATCAGTTGCAGATTTATACTGAACCCAAGGTATGTCCTTTCTTTGTTATTTGTGACATATCCATGATCTTATTTATATTCTGTTTAAATGTTTTGTGAATCAAATAAATGTTAACAAGTTAATTTTATAAGTTCTTATTTTGGATTTGACTGAATGCTGATTTTGGTACACGTGAATCTCTGGCTACTAAACAAATAAATGTAAGTTCCCTAGATTATATATATATATATATATATATATATATATATATATATATATATATATATATATATATAGATAAATAAATAATTAAAATGGTACTTTAGTTGTTTTATCATTTTTACATCCACCTGAAAACAATATATATATTTTATATAATGTAAAGGTGTTTGAAACTCAAAGTAAATGAAAGTGCAATAATAAAATATGTAACTGCAATATGTTTCAATATCGAATTTTTTTAGGTAATAAAAAAATTTGTAAATACAAAGAAATATATAATTCGAATTCCGCCGTTGGTGTCCTTTTTTTTAGAAATAATATAATTTAATTTTTATGATCACTCACAATTGTTTTAAAGATAATTTTCAGTTATTTTACTTTTCAGAAATGAGAAAATGCTCAAGAAAGCAAAGTGTTGCGGGAGTGCCGCTCTAATTTTGCATTGTCATATCCGGCCAGAAAGGCATATATCCCATTTTTTAAAAGTTGAATAAAAACATTAAAACACATTTTTGAAAGCATTTTCTGTATTATTATATTTAAGTAGCAATTATCTTATTTCACCTTTTCTCATCGGTTTCTAAAGTATTTATTTTTCTCTATTTTTTTTATAAGTATGTACAAACTTTGGTATTTATTTTATTTTATATACCTACATAATGAAACATTTAATTTTAATTTCTAAACATTTAATTAATTTCTATCATATGTAAAATGTTTGTAGTGGGATGGTAATTTTGCTATCTGTATCCAACAAGCTGGTCTAAAATACAACTTAATTCCAGAAATCATACTTAAATATTTTGAATAACAAAATTAAAATATAAAATAGTGTTGCCTTTCCATGTCCCATTCTGCACCCCCAATGCGCTACAATGTGTGCGTTGGGTTGGGTGCCCCTGCTAAAGATCATTATCAAGAAAAAGCGTTTCTAAACAAACACAGCCTTATTATAGTAATACTAATATTTTACTAACCACAATTTTCTATTTGTCTACTTAACATATCACCCTTAAGAAGGGAAAGGTACTTAAAATTATTATTCTATTATCATTGTCAAATCCATTACAGGTCAATGTGCCTAAGTGCTCATGCTTTATATGCTATTTATAATAAAATATATTTATTGTCTATGTAAATATAATAAATGTTTTATACATTTACAACTGTTAAATTATATATTTTTCTTTTACTTTTCATTTATGTTAATCTAAACATTTATTTTAATCTCATTTAATACATACCAATACCTAATAATCCCTTTAGAGCATTCTTTAAGATTGGGGAAAAAATTTGATAACTTTGCGGAAGTTGAAATTGCAGTCCAAGAGTTCTTTGACAGCCGTCCCAAAGAATGGTATCAGCATGGGATCGAGCAATTGGCTAGCAAATGGCAATGACAGTAGATAACAATGGACTATATTTTAAGTATTAATTGTATTTTATGTCATATATGTATCAATCAAATTGTCCGATCTCACAGGTGGGCTCATAGATTCGGCGAAGAATGTTTCTTTCAAAAGTAAGCACGTCTCTTTCATTTGTCTTTGAAGTAGTCCAGGTTCCCGTGTTAATAATACAGAAATAAATGATAAAAAAATGAAATATAAAATAATTAATTATAAATTAAAATTAATAAGTGCAGGCCCTACTCGACTACTTAGACCACTACAGCACGGGTTCAATTTCCACATGGAGACAGCAATGTCCCCACCTAGAGATTCATAGGGAAGTGAGCGATCCCAGTGTCTTACACCATAGCTCCTGGTCCTCCAGGTTGGGGATTGGGAATAGGGCTGATAATCTCCTATCCCATAACCTAAAACCTATCCATCCTAAAACTGGGTGAAAGATTGCTGCAAAAGATTGCCAACCATCCTTCAGGGAAGTTCCTGATGAAGAGGGAGTGAATTGTGATCGTGGCCAGTTAGTAAACCATGTGCACCCGGGATATCTCAAAGAAGAGAGAATGAAACTATCACTACTATTGCCTATAACAGCCCCAAAAGCTGCTAAAGAAGATTCATGAAGAAAAAGTCTAAGTCAACAGGCATAATATATATATATATATATATATATATATATATATATATATATATATATATATATATATATATATATATTGTAATATTTTTCATATTTTACAAATAATAATATAACCTCAGAAGATCACTTTATACTTCCTAAATAAATAAGAGGTTGTTAAATTATAAACAAAATTATAAGAATATTGATATATTAAACTAAGCTTTATAATTATTTTATCTCAGGGATAGGTTACTGACAGTCACATTAAAACACTCAGACAAACTAAAATTAACTGTACTAAACAGTTTGATTTTAAAATAAAGTCAACTATGAATTGGCAAGCTAACTTTTTTCTATATACACTGTTTCTTCCTTGTTGGCACTGAATTCATTTGTCTTCAAACATTTTCCAAAGTTCTGCAAAACACAACTTCCAAAATGGTGACACTTTCATCTACTCAACTCAAGCTCCCTGGGAGATCCTCTTTCTTGAGGTTCCAAAGAACTAGTATCTCCGCAAAACAACAACTTCCAAGATAGCAACACTATTACTGGGTTTTACACACTTTTTTTCTTTGAAACAGAAAAAAAAACGGATTTTCCCACTGGAGCCAGGATCCCTTATCCCATCCTCTCTTCAAACCAGCCAAACACCAACTGCTTGCTAAAACAAAACTTCTTTGTCCCCTCCCCTCTTTGGGATTTTCCTTTTTGAGGAAACTACGGAGCAGCTATTTTCTTTTCCCAGAACTAGTAGAATTAGATTAGCTTGTCTTTTAACTGTTCAGCATTAATTTATTAAACCATTTAACTGTTTTCTTGTTTTGTTTCAGCTCCTAATCCTTCTATAAACTTCAACAGCCTGTTATTAATTATTTTCTTAAGTACCTAACCAATCATATTCGGAAAACAATACAGATAGTTGTCATATTTCTCCTCAACTATTGGAGATGAATAGAAGAGAAAAGAACCTTCATGTTAGCAAGTGTTAAAAAACGTATGAATAAATCAGGTACTATTATATGTACAATATTTGCCAAGCAATTCAAATACTGAGGTTTTTCTAAAGGCAATATCACACCTGTCATAGTTAATTTTAAATATCATAGGCATTACATTTAATTAAGGTAGTAAGCTCAAATCCAGTAAATTGTCACATTATATCATAAATTAGACTTAATTAATTTTATACAGTATTGTCAGGCATTAAATATTTGTAGTAATAAGATAAACTTTGTCAGGCGATGCTGTGTTAAATGGGGGAGAGGGGGGACAAGCTATTCCTATGCATAAACCTACCTATTTGTTAATAAGTATTCAAATTAATTTGTTTTTTTTTGAGTAATATATTAGACAGTAAAACCAGTATATTTTAGATTCCCATACATTCACAGACACCATTTATAAATTATAATAATAAATATAAATGACCTTAAAGAAGCTGTATAAAGTAAAATAATAATTAAAAATACTGATTAAATAAGTTAAATCTAAATCCACCAGTAATATAATTATTCTTGAAAAATGTTTTGTATCTGATCATAACTGTTTTCAAATATACAGCAAATTCAAGGATAAACACTAATTTTATGGTTATATATTTGGTTTTATAATTATATGTATTTATACACGTACATACCATTCCTTTTAGTTCAATGTTAACTATATATACTCAACATATGCCAGCTTTTTTACTTATGGACAGTATTAAGCGGACAAAACACAAAGCAACACCTGTGGTTGAAAAATATAACAATTTACCTTATTCCAAGATGTTCTGTGTCCTCAATAGATTCTGAAGAATTATTAAGTTGACTTGTCTCAGTTTCTGTACTATTTAAGGCCTCTGTGTTATTTGTATTAATTTGAGCATTTAGACAACTGAGTGTAGATACATTACAAAACTTTCCAAGTTTCCATTCCATTTCCAGTTTAGGATATAGATCTCTAGCAAGTTGACAAACCGTCATACTAACATGACTTTTTTCAATTCAAGAATACTAATTTACGTCCAATTTATAAGCACAAGGAATATTGAATTAAATGATAATATTTAATTATAGTTAATTTAAAATATTACCTGCACATCTTCATACAATCGAACCCCTATATATCGAACCTACAGGCTCATTAAAAAAATAATGATACATATAAAAATTTGAATTATTAGAAAGATTGCAATTTTTCATCCTTATCATATTAAAAATAATTAATTTTTTTTTTAGGGTGTTTGATGTATGACAATTCTATATTGATTTATCAAATCAGCTTTTGTATACTGTTGAAAGCTTACTTGCAATAACTTTTTCTTTTTTTTTTTTTTTTTGACTGGTTTTTATTTTTCATTCCAGTTGTTATCTCTTTTATTGAGTCAACATTTTTTTCACACTTAATGATCTTCATTTAGAAGCCATGACAAAAAAAAAAAAAAAAAAAAAAGACAAAGCTAAACAGAATTGAAAATAAAATTTTAGTCTAGACAAATTATTCAAATAATCTTGTAGTGGCATAAGCTTACTGCCTAATAGCCTCCCTCCCCTATTGTTTTAAGTTAATAGAAGAAATAATAATTTTACAATAGATATAATAATTGAATAACCACCTGGTATGATAATAAAAATATGAAGAAGATTATATAGACTGGAATACTCCTGTGTTCAAAAATTGTACTCGTATGTAATTTTCTGCTAATGTTTCTTTGTTTATGATCTTGCTCATTTTATTTGTGATGAACTGAAAAACTCTTTGTTACTTTCATTTTGTTATTTAATAAGAAGAAAATTTTTCATTATTATTTTGTCAAAATTTAATTTATTCTTTTTTGTAAATTAAAAGTACTGAGATATTTTGCTTTATTATTTACATTCAACCTACCAAAATCTCAATCCTGTGGGTACTGTGATTGTTACTTGATTATCAGGTTATTTGTGTGTGTGTGTGTGTGTGTGTGTGTGTGTGTGTGTCAGATAATTGTGTTATCTTTGTTGAAATATTCTGATAGGGCTTAAATGCTGAATTCTCAAAATTTCTTCCTCTAAAATACATTCAATTTTGTTTATTTAAAAATATTAATCATTTCACATTGTAACTAGTAATAAAAATGGTTAAATATAAACTATGAATGAATTTAATAATTAACCTAAGGAGAAATAAGGGTTACTCCAAGATAAAAACTGTGAGATCGGAAACAGTCAAAAGTGCCAGACTTTTACCAATCCTCCTTCATTTAAACTGCTCATGTCTGTTCATTGTTACTATATTCACAAATTTTGCTTACACATAATTTTCAAAAGAGATTTTCAGCAGAAATGTTAAGGATCTATTAATATATGTATATATATATATATATATATATATATATATAATATATATATTTACTAATATTAATTCTTCTTTAAACGTCTTTAGTGGAAGATGTTTTGGAGGAAGCTCTTAATTTTTACAACGAAAAGATATACTATAACATTTCATTAGTTTAAAATTTTTTTTTTTAATTTGTCTATTCAACAAGTATTATTTTATAACATTGGTATGATTTCTATAATCTATATTTCCTTTAACATAATGAGCTTACCCACAATTTTTTTATATGATAGTTAATTGTTTTATATAAATATGCTATATCATCAATAATTTTCATTTTCACTTCTCTATATATGACAATACCTATATATACTTAAAATAGAGAGGTAAGTGAAAGTTTTGTGATGCGCGCATGCACCAGATTTAGGTTTGAAAAATATAAATTTTATGGGATATACAGAATATTTTTTTGGCCAAAAATTTGAGGTTACAAAAAAATGTTGGAATATGGAAATATTTGATACATAGAAGTTCGATATATAAAGAGTCGATTATATTTACATCAATATACTGGACTCTTAATATAACACCAAGGAACAATGAAGTATTTTGAAGCGGTTTTAATTTTTTATGAATATTTTTAGAGTAATATAATAATTTCCACAAAATTTTAATATGAAAATTATATCTGATAGAAGAAAATAAATATAGAAGCTAGATTTTTCAGCACTTACAGAGAAATTTTATTAATAAATAAATCTATAATAATATTTTTTTTCCTTTTACAAAACAACCTATAACAGTTAATATAGATATATTCATTGAAATGTATGAAATGATAGATGAAATCAAAATTGAGAACGTGAAACAAACTTCATTTTTCCAAGTGTTTTTTAATTATGTAAGAAATAAAATATACTCTTTACCTTTTGATTTGTACACAACCTGGACAGTTTGAAGGACCGAATGTGAATGGTTAAAAAAAGTAATGCTGCTTGTTATATAAAAACTACACACCTATCAGAATAGATTCATTAAGCGCATTGGAAAAGATTAATGAACTTTGTTAGAAGAATATTAGTTTTATTTATACAATTTTAGTTCTGAGTAATATTTAATTTACATATGTATCTTTCCAAACAAATAAATGCAAATTATTAAAGTTTTGTAACTACAAATACTTTCATGATAAGGATCAGCTTAAAAAATAAATAAAATGTTAATGAGTGATGATATTAAACACATTCATAAAAAATACACACATACACACAAAGGTGTGTGCACACACACACACACACACACACACACACACACACACACACACACACACACACGTGCGCACTCTCTCCCACACATGCACGCACACATACTCACACACACACACACACACACACACACACACACACACACACACACACACACACACACACACTCACATACATACGCCTGCACACACAGAAACAAAGTTTCATAAAATTAACAAATAGAAGAAGTCAATTTCACATGTTATTCCAACAGTTTTTGATTAAAGCACAGATATATACAAATCAATATAAAAATTGAATTCTATAGGAATAATAATTGAGATATACAATCAAACTTATGATTTCTGGAAGTGACTGCTAGGTTGTTTTTTCTCATGATGTCATTACGTAAATAGAATAAAATTAATAATGAAACATCATTAAATCTTAAAATAATAGTCAAAATAAAAAATCATACAAATGATAAAAATATTAACTTACCTATTAGTAGTAAGCACAATATAATAGTGAAGTTTAATTGTTATATTTCTACTAGACCTATCATAGGTAATTATTAGAGTCATATCCAAATCATCTATATGCTTGATATCATGGGTTTCTCGATAGGTAACTACAGGTGCTGGTCCAACCTTCACAAGAACATATTCACATTCCTACGAAAAAGAAAGATATTTTAAAATATATCTTAATAATGAGAGACAGTGAAAAAATGCTGATATATCCTTCAAAAGAAACTTATGAGATAATTCATTTAAAAAAAAAAAAGGTAATTCCAATAAATATTATACAGACTGTTTCGTAATTGCACGGCACTATTTTAGGTATATATTCACCACTAGCGGATCCAGGATAATTAGATAAAAAAAAAGAAAGCAATTAACTACCTATATGAAATGGTGTCTAAGTGGTTCTTGAAGTCCTATTAAATGTAATTACTCGAACAAGAATACTTAAAGAGATAGTTTTTAATATTAATATTATAGTTTCTGTAAAACATGGTTACATTTTACCATTTTGGGAGGGGCTTCAGCCCGAAAGCCCTGGTTTTTTGTGAGGCATAGGTCAACCCCGGCCTAATGAAAGTTTTGTATAATCTTGCCTTGTGAGTAATTGGCTCCTGATCTGCCTATTTAAGCCAAAATAGCAATGATTTTGCTGCTATTCTGTATCCTATTTCCTTTGACATGTTATTGGTCGATGTCACAAGGGACCTGAGGTAAGTAAACTCCTACACTTTCTGAAATTTGAATGGGCCTATTTCTATGAAACTTTCTCCTTGCTGAACTCCATCGGCCTTTGTCACCTTATATTTAGTTTTAGCCTCATTTATTACAAGGCTCAACAGAAAGGCTGCCTGTTGGATTGTCAGAAAAGCATTACTCAGCTCAGATTTGGATCTTGCAACTATGTCAATGTCGCCAGCAAAGGCCAAGATCTGGACACTTCTGTTGACAATAGTTACTTTTGTCTGAACTTCTAAATGCCTTACTGCCTTTTCAAGCCCTAAAATGAATAGAAGACATGCCCCATAGAAGACAAACCATCCCCCTGTCATAACCCCTTATTGGCCCGAAACTCGCTCGAGTACTATTCTTTTATTCTGATGACATTCCTCACATCATGCATGGTCATCTTAACAAGGTGGATAAGCTTCCTGGGAATGCCAAATTCTTCAAGTGCCCTGTAAATGTTGGAGTGATTGATGCTATCGTAGTCATTCTTGAAATCTACCAAAAGATGGTAGGTTATCATAATATATTCAATTCCCCTCTTCAAGATAGTCCTCAGGGAAAAGATCTGGTGCACTGTGGATTTCCCACTTCTAAAGCCATTCTGGTACTTTCCTACTACTTGTTCGGCATAGGGACACAATCGATTGAAGAGAATCCCGCAAAGCATTTTGTATGCTGTTGGTTAGAGCGATATTCCTCTATAATTTTTGCAATCAAGCCTGCCACCCTTTTTGTAGATTGGATAGATTATTCCCTTTTCCCACTCCTTTGCCATCTTTTCATCAACCCAAATTTGCACCATCAAATTATGAAGGTCCTTATGCAAGTTTTCACTTCTGTATTTAAGGAGCTCTACTGTAAAACCATCCAAACCCGGACTTTTGTTATTTTTCATTCGGTGGATCACTTCCATAATTTCTTCAAAATCTGGAGGGGATTCATTCTCTTCCTCTGTGTTCTCATTTCGATTTTTGTGTTATTAACTTATTCTACATCTTCCACTGTTGAGTCATAGTAGAGCATCAAAGTGACACACCCATCTTTGGAGAATTTCTTCTTTCTTCGTGAGCAGCGAACCATCCTCACTCTTATATGCGATAGAAGTTGGTTTGAAATCGGCTCTTTCCTGATTGACTCTATGATAAAAAAAGTCTGCTGTCATTTACTTTTTGTAGTTCATCGATTTCTTCCAATTTTCTCCTTTTGCAGGTTTTCTTCTTTTTCTTAGGAAGTTTTTTTCCACCTGCCACCAATTCCTATATTCTTCAAACACTAGCCGGGTATATCTCCTGTGCACCATCGATTTGTAAGTTCGGTTTTTTGCATTTGTCGCTGGTTGGCATTCTGAATCAAACCACGCATCTCTAGAATTTCTCGATTCGTTTCCCAACTCTTCTTCTGCAGCCTTCATTACAGCTTCTTTCAGAACCCTCCATTCATCTTTTGATTCAGGATCAATGCCCATTTCTTTCATTATGTTCTTCATCAGATGGCTGTACTGTTCTTCATATCTTTGGCAAGTTTCAGGGTCCTTCAACTAGCTTGCGTTGATTTTTTTACTTACCTTCCTCCTTACAGTGTGTCTACTGGAGATTCTAGCTCATACTATGTAATGGTCCGAATCCATGTTAGCGCCCTGAAAGGTTCTGCTGCTAATAAGGTTGGATTTGTGGCAAGATGGTATGAGCAGATGGTCAATTTGGTTGAATGTTTTACCACCCGGAGACTTCCAAATGTTTTTGTGGATCTTTCTCTTGAATGCATCATAGAAATCTTCCTTCCTCGGGAGATTCTTCTGTGGGAGCGTGGCAATTAATCAGGCTGATATAGAAAAGTCCCTTGGGCCTTAGTCTACAGATCCCTAGACTTACGGCAGCATAATCTATGACTCGATCTCTCATTCTTCCTATTACAATAAACCCGATTTCGAGCATCCGGTATTTACTATGGCAGCTGTAATAAATTGTGTGATACCTTTTCTCCAAAAGTCCTGTTCCAGTCCAACAAATTTCCTGGATCGCATTAAGGTCAATCCTATAACTGTCAATTTGCTTAAGGAGGGCTTGAAGTCCTCCGGGTCTATTAAGAGTTAAAATGTTTCATTTTCCAATTATTATGTCCTTATAACGGTTCCTGTGTCTTTTATCATTTATCAATCCATCCCAATTCTCTTTGAGGTTTCGGGATAAGATTGGTTTAAGGGGAGGGGGATATGAACCCATACACTGCCCCCAGGTCAGGTGGAGGGACTGCCTCCTTGACCTTAGTGTATATGTGGGGATGAATGTAGTGTGATATAATCTGTGTACTGGGTATGTGTCAGTGTACTGTTCTCTCAACCTGGAGGAGCAGTGACTATCTGCAGTACTTTCACTTGGCAATGGGGCCGCCAACTCTCTATGCCATATATATATATATAGATATATAGATAGATATATATATATAGATAGATAGATAGATAGATAGATAGATAGATAAAAAAAAAAACTTTATTCTGGGACCAAGTCCCTTTAGAATAACACAATTGTACAAAAGAATAGAATACTACTAGCCTAAAAGTTAGAAACAATAAATAAAATTGATAAAATAAACTAAAAAGTAAAGAAAACCTTAGGTGAACAAGCTATATACAATACAGATAAAACTATGTACAAAACATTTAAAACTATGAACAAAACTATATATAAGGGTTGAATAACATAAGCATACACTTTGAGAAATGAAGAACGAAAAAGAGATAGAATAAGTTAATTTCATAAAAAAAAACTTTACTTGTATATATATAAAAAAAGTAAGTAATTGCATAAAAAAAAAAAAAAAAATAGATGTATTGAAATTCCTACCTTGATAGTAGGAAATGCATATATATATATATATATATATATATATATATATATATATATATATATATATATATATATATATATATATATATATATTTATATTTATACTTATTACAAAAACTTCAGTTAATACAACTCAAGACAGAACTCCAGTTCTTATCTCAACATCCAAACGATAGCCCTGATGATGACCCACATCTTTGGGTCGAAACGTAGCTAACCCAATAAATATATGACATAATAAATAAATGACTGAAATTCCAGACAATTTTATTTCATCTTTATTGAAAATTGATTACTTTTTGCATAATAAATTCTCTTTCATAGCTTCAACAAGATTTTTATAGTTAACATAAAACTGAGAACTCAAAGCTCATCGTGAGGGTTTGAAGTTGAGTTGAGTTGTAAAATGGAGGAGATTGTGTTCAATCCCCTATCAGAAATAAGACTCCAAGATTTTCAGAGAATCATGATCCATGCAATAATGATAAAATGCTTTCATTTTAATTATATCTATCACAATTTAATTAAATGAAAGGATATAAGTTAATATTATTATAACCAGCAATAAAACTGTTGATCAAAAGAACTAAAACTCTGATAAAAAAATATAGAAAAACAATCTAACAATAAAAAGCTGCTTATTAAAATCAATTAATGTTAATAAAAATACCTGAGAGGAAGTGGATTCTGTTTCTATTTTTTCATTGAATACCATTCTTTTAACTTCCATGTCATAATCCTTTGCGTGACTAAGCAAATAGTGAAAAAGTTGGAGAGCTGGAGTAGATAAATCAGAGACACACAAAGAACCTACAAGATTAATTGTTGTTAATCCTAATTAACAAAAATATTTAGATAAAGAAATTTTAAACCATGTATAAAATATCATAATATAAAGTTATATTTCAAAAAAATATAAATCTGCAGCTCAGCATTCATATTAAACATGTAGACTGCTCCAAATTGATTGCTTCTGTATTTTTAGTTATCATTAAAAAAGTATTATGTGTTTAACTCAACTTAGTATCTCACAATCTTGATTTTAAAATTATACTTCTAGAATTTTTAACATTTAAACCAAACTAATCCTTTTTTACAACTCTTTAAAAAAAAAAACATTAGAAGCAGGGGATGGAGACTGAGGTTCTATGATCAGAAGACAGTGATACAACCACTGACCAATAGAGACCTGTAATATATACATATATATATATATATTTTTTTTTTCTTTTCAGTTGGTGCCTCAGATCACGAAAATCTTTGACCGCGAGACGTGGTCTCCTAGATATATATAATGTTAGGATTTTTTATTTATCAAATATTTAAATTCAAAAATAATATATGGGAGTTCGAAATACTGTGAAGGGAAGGACCCAATCCTCTCTTCTCATCCGCCTTCTTTCGGCCATTGGCCAGGATGCAGTAATCTGTTATTTCAAGATCACTCTCGAGGAAACATGTCCACTAGAGTCAGGAAAGTATAAACCTATATGAAGACAATTTGAAGTATCAGTATCAGTGAAGTAACATTTATCAGTATCAAGATTATGCAGTATAATGCGTAAGATTAGATGTACCTGTGAACTGTATCAAGAAACCATAACAATAGTAATTTATGTTTTTTATTTTAGTTCACTTGTCATAAAATTTGTTTTTAGATTAAATAAAAATATTTATACTGATGCTGTTTGTTAGATCCTTAACAATTCACAATTTATGAACCTTTTAAATCCTCAGCACCCAATAAATTGTCATAACATACAGCAGTTTTAGATCAATATATTTTTTTATTCATTTTATAATAATATCGGAACGTTTGGCTATCCCTAAACAGGAACTGAAATTTTAATCAACACAGTTTATACATCAAAACAATATATATATATATATATATATATATATATATATATATATATATTAGATATGTGTATATATATATATATATATATATATATATATATATATATATATATATAAGATAAAGACCGGAGACTGGCGATATCAGCCTTAATACCATCGGGCAATGTAAACAAACATGCCAAATGTATATAAGAGGAATTATTGATCGAATAAAGCAATGTTTATTCAGAAGCCGTGTGTGTTGCATCTCTTCCCTTTTCCTTCTTTTTTTTTATTTCTCAAGTCCGACGACGCTTAACTGGTGCTGAAACCCGGGAAAACGTCAGGGAAGTAATTTTTTTTTAAGTATATATATTTTTTTTTTGTTGGTGTTTAAGGAAAAGGCGAGATGCCGACAGAAGGCTTGATTAGACCGGGAGTACTAAGCGCACCGGAAATTCCTCAACCTCAGGAAATTATACAGATCAACCAGGTACCCCAGATCGCGCCTCAGGTACCTCAGATACCACAAATCCCTCAGGTAGCACAGATCCCTCAGATCCAGGAGATCCCTCCATTACCAAGGGACACGTTGGCAGAAGCACACGCCAATGCCTTGGAATGGATGAAAATAAGAGCAACAACCACGCAGGACTTACGGAGGGCCATTGCGGACCTAGAACGCTTCGGAGGCGAGGTAGGTGAGCTCAACCATTTCTTGAAAGGCGGAGATCGCCTCATGTCAAGAATCGAGGTAAAGGTGGCGGAGGACCTGGTGAACCTCGGGGACGCGGAAGCACTAAAAGCAGCTCTTGTGTGCCGAGTAAGGAGGAACGTCCTGAACCAGATCCAAGCGGACGAGGAGATTCCGTGGCCGGTGATTAAGGAGCGGCTGAAGAAGGCTTTTGGAGGAGGTAGGTGGACACCGGAAGAGGACATCTTCCAAATGTTTAGGGAGCGGCGGTCCCAACGACAGACAAGGGGACAATATGCGGGGGTACTCGTGGCGAAGTACAATCGCATAACCGAGAAGATACGTGAAACGATGAGCGTGGGAGAGGTCGAAGCCAGGATGGAGTTCCTGTCGACAATATTGAAAGTCCAGCTAGCTAAGGAAACGGGGAAGAGGGACGGACTGCCCAGAGAGCGATCGTTCCTCGAATGCGCCCAGGAGATGATTGACCTAAGTGCAAGAGAGGAAGAGACACGGATGGATGTGGAGGAACCGGGATGGATCCGAGTGACGGATAGACGACCACGGACAGCCCCGACAGGTTGGAGAAAGAGGGACACAAGGCAACAGGGTGGAGAAAAAGCCACGATGGGGGAAAGAAGATCCGGACAGTCGTCGAGGCCGAGGAATGGGCCCCGGAGGGAAGAGAGAAAATGTCACGGGTGTGGGAAGCCGGGACATTTAGTAGCGCAGTGTCCGCGCACCAGATGCTTCGAGTGCGGGACCGAAGGGCACATAGCAAGACAGTGCCCATACATATTCCGCAGGAGGGAGAGACCTCAGGACGAACCCATGGAGGTGAATGCACAGAAGATGAAAAGGCGGGCTAGGGCACAGCAGAGGGACGGATCTTCGGAGGAGGCAACCGAGGAGTCAGGAACGGAGACGGATTAACCAGGCAGCAGCGGAGGTGAAGGAGGTAGGCGCAGCCAACGGAGCGAGCAGCGACGAGCGGCGGCAGGAAGGAGGAAGCGGGACGACATCTGAGGAGTGTGTCGGCAGAGAGGCGACCGCACAGCAATATGCAACAGTGTCAGAGGTAAGCCATGCTGGTTGCCAATTATTGAAGTAGACGGGGGAGTAAAGTGTCTTGTGGACACGGGTAGCTCGAGCACTATCATGACCCGAAGGGCGTTAGGGAAAGTGTGCGGGAGCGAGAGGGTACTCCGGATACAGAAATGCGACTGCCAGCTGATCACTCTGGGTGGTCCCTGTAGCGTAGAGGGAGAGGCGATAATTGGGCTTGATCGGTGGACAAGGAAAGAGGGCGAGCTAAGGGTGCATGTGGTGGAGAACATGACACGGGAATACCAGGTCATAGTAGGGTGCGATCTGTTAGGGCAGGTAGGGGCGAGCATCAGAAACCATAGGGGAGCCTGGAGTATTAGGCTGGGAAAGAGGAAGTTTGAATGCGTAGGGGTCGCGAGAGAGAGAAGGGTACGGATAGGAGCGGTGAACAGGGTAGAGGACTGGAGGAAGTCGCTACAAACGGAGTTCAGAGATATTTTCTTCAGGGAAGGCGAGGTATTGGGGGTAACGGGGAGGACGGTGCATGAAATCCCACTGAAGCAAGATAGGGTAACCTACGTGAAGGAAAGGAGATACCCGCAGGCGCTGAGGCAGCATATTCGGGAGGAATTAGACAGCCTAAAGGAGCAAGGGATCATCGTCGATAGTACCTCACCCTTTAATAGTCCCCTGTGGGCGGTGAAAAAGAAGGCAGTGCCGGGGGATAACAAGGAAAGATATAGTGTAGTAATAGACTATCGGAAATTGAATGACAATACTTTGGATGAGAAGTACCCGATCCCCAGATTCGAAGATATACTCGATAGGTTAAGTGGGGCAGTAGTATTTAGCACATTGGACCTCAAAGCGGGATATCACCAAATACGAATGCACCTAGAAGATCAACATAAGACGGCGTTTACGTTCGAAAGGTGGCATTATGAGTTCACCAGAATGCCGTTTGGTCTGAAGAACGCGCCCATAACGTTTCAACGCCTGATGGACGAGTTTTTGAGGGGTATTGATGACGCGGTATGCCAAGTGTACATGGACGACCTGCTCATCTTCAGTAAAACGGATGCCGAACACGTGGGGCATCTGAGATCAGTTTTCGAAAGGCTGCGGCAATTCGGGCTGAAATTGTCGAGTGAGAAGTCCCTGCTGGGGCAAACGCGAATTAATTTTTTAGGCCACACTATCTCTAGCGAGGCGGTCAGACCGGATGCAGCAAAGGTGGAGGCAATCACACGGATGGAGGCACCACGGGACGTAAAAGGGATCCGGAGGCTTCTCGGGACGCTTAACTATTACAGGAGATTCGTGCCTGAGATGGCAGAGTATTTGGTACCTATCAACAATTTGCTCAAGAAAGGTGCGAAGATTGCGGTGACACCGGAAATGGAGAACAATATTCGGAAATGCATGAGTAGGTTGCAGGCAGAGCCTGTATTGGCGTTCCCGGATTTTGAAAAGCTGTTCAACATAACCACTGACGCGAGCGAATATGCGTTGGGGGCCGTTTTGTCTCAGGAAAGTAGTGAGGGGGAACGGCCGATAGCATACGCGAGCCGTCGGCTTACGGGTGCGGAATCAAGGTACAGCGCTTTGGAGAGGGAGCTACTCGCGATAGTGTGGGCTATCGACCATTTCAGGCCATACGTATTCGGGAGAAAGTTTCGAGTCCATACCGACCACAAACCCCTTCAGTGGGTAGGAAAACTCAAGGAAACCTCAGCCAGGGTCACGAGATGGAAGGAGATCCTTAGCCAATACAACATAGAGGTGGTGTATAAGCAGGGAAAGGAAAACGTGGTGGCAGACTGGCTCTCTAGGGCCATCATGATTAACGCGGTTGAAGAAGACAGGGGAGGACCATCGCGGGACGTGCGTCAATTCTTGAATAAATGGACTCCCGATGGCGAAGGGGCAAGTGATACCGCAGGTGTAGAGGACAGGGGAGAATCCCCAGAAGAGGAGAGCTCAGCGGAGGAAAGGGCAGCGGAGATGGAAGAAGTAGATGAGATCGTGAACGACAAACACCGTCAGGTGATCTGGAAGACACGAACAGCCGGAATCATGAAAATCGATTTCAGTAGGTATGGGAGAAGTAGGATCCGCGTCATTTGGTCGCAACCCGGGGTAAGCGAAGAACAAATCTGTACGGCACTGAGGGACGCCTCGGAAGCGGGTAAAACGCACTATCTATACGTGGGAAACAATACGGTATGGG